AAATCTGCAGCTAAATAAATACTAATAACTTCAACATGTGAAAAGCTCAAAACTTTCTGCTCGACTGGACAGCGTGAGCTAATCTGTTGACAATTTTTTGAATAACCGATTAATAATTGAACTGCAAAAGGTGCTTAACAAGAGATTTTTTTTCTACTTAAATACAGCAATTTGAACCATTGAAACTAAAACTGTCACTTGATTTTTCATCCTAAGAGGAAAATGTATGTATTCTTTGTGATGTTTTGGGTTAATTACTGCACTGAAGGAGTTGTTCTTTCAGTAATTTGCATGTTTGAATCTGTATTCTCCACTTAATGATTAATTGATTATTAGATAGTGGATGATTATTTCAATAATCGATTAATCACAGTTATTTGTTTCAGTTTTTCATCATTCTTCTGATCATCTCTTTGAATTTAGATGCGGTTAGGCTTTGCTTAAGAGCTGGATCTTTTACGAAATGAAAACGAAACTCTTTGGACTTGTTGGAGATTTCTTCTCTGCTGCCTGTGGCTTCTCACATTAAGCTCAGTGACCAGTGGTTGCCACAGGGGAGTGACCTCTGTCACCACCTCCACCAGCCTTGTCCCCTGTGTTTCCCACTCTGTCAGACACTCTCCAGCTGTGCTCAATCAGTCACATTTTCCTGAGAGCAAAGGCTGTAATTGATTCCTGACACAGCTCCCTGATGTCACTGCCTCACCCGCCCAGCTGACTTCTGTTGTAAACCCGTTGCGCCCAAGAAAGTCAAAGGATGTCAGCGGAGCATGCAACAGGAGGGGATTTTCCAGTACTTGCAGTTTTTTTTTTCTCTTTTTACAACTACGTAGAGATGACTTCTTCTCCTTTTCCTGCAGGTGTTGGCACCGGGCAGTTTGTCACCGAGACGCTCGCTCTACCGGACCCTGTCGGACGAGAGCGTGTGCAGCAACAGGAAGGCTTCGTCCTACACCAGCTCGCACAGCTCCATGCTCGATCAAGCCATGCCCAACGACATCCTGTTCAGCACCACGCCACCTTACCACAGCACACTGCCTCCTCGCATGGTCCACAACCAGGGAGCAGCCAACCTGCGCAGTGAGTGCCAACACACTGCAAAGTGTTCACCTTTTCACTATCTCCACATTCTGTCTCGTTGCAACCACAAACTTCAGAGTATTTACTGGGTTTTATGCGGTACAGAAACACTACGCACGGTTTTCTACTCTGTTTTAACAGATAAAAAATCAGAATGTGGCGTTCATTTGTACTGTCTACCCTCTGAAGTCTTAATTAGTAAATGGAGTCCACCTGTGTGTAATTTCACCTCTGTATAAATCCAGCTGTTCTGTGAAGACCGCAGACGCTTTGTTGGAAAGCTTTAGTGAACAAACACCATCATGAAGACGTGCACTGCAAAAACTCAAAGACTTACCAAGTATTTTGGTCGAGTTTCTGATGAAAACATCTGACGACACTTGAAATAAAACAAAACTAACTTACAAGTAGCTTTTTTAGTAAGAAATAGGGGCTTTATTTAAGTTAATAATACCTTAATAGATGATAAAATACTAGTTCCACTGGCATATTATTTCACTTATAACACTGGATAAATTTCTTGTTATAAAAATAACAAGACAGAATTTTTTTTATCAATATTAAGGAATTACTAGCGTAAAACAAGTTCTAATATCTTTCTAAAAAGTTACTCATGAGTTAGTTTTGTCTTAATTCCAGTGTAGTAAGATACTTGCACTACAAACTGGACCCAAAATACTTGGTAAGATTTTGTGTTTTTACAGTGTAGGATCACAGGGAGAAATTTGCCTTGAAGTTTAAAGCGAATTTAGTTTATATTCCAAGCTTTGAACATCTCACAGAGCTCTGTTCGATACATCATGTAAAAAGAAAAAGAAAAAAAAGAACTGCATCAACGTAACGTCCGCCTAAACTGAAAGGCGTTTGAAAACAGCTAAGAGTTTCATGGTAACTCTAGTCGCTTAAAGCTGTTAGACATTCTTTCCTTTATGGAAGAGTGGCATGAAGAAAACTATTGTTGAAGGAAAGTCTTTAAAGTTTGCACAAGCCATGTAGATAACAATGCAAACCTGTCGTCAAAATGCCTGGCATGTAAAACTCTTATGTGGCTAAAAGTTAGCAATCAATAAATTAAGAATTTATTTGAAAGGAAGTTTACACAAACATAACTCCAAAGCACTGCAAGAGGATAAAATATAACAAATTTTACAAAACATTAAAAAGAAGGTTTGAGATCATCAATTTTTTTGTAAAAAATCATTCTCAGATAATGAGATTTTGCTCTGGTCAGATTCCAGAAACTACAAGAAACATTACATTTTTGCTGAATAAAAGCTAAGCTGTTTATAGAAGCCTAAATTGGAAATATAAAAATAAAGGACACTTTAAATAGACATTAAAGACATAAAAAAAATATATAAATAGATTACACTTTTTTCTTTTCTTCTAATTAATTAAGTAATCTGCCAAATGCAGTTGTGGACCTAATGGCCACAAAGTTCAATTTTCACATCATCCTGAATGCAACCCTACTGCAAAACATAGTGATGATAGTATCATGCTGTGGGGACAATGAAACTGATAAAAGCTGAAGGGGAAACAGACCCAGGTAAATGAATTTCTGGAACAAAACCTGCACTTGAAATTGCTCTTAATGTACATCCAAAATTTACAACGCCAGGGTTTATATTACTCTATGTTCAGTGAAAGTCCAGATCTAAATCTAATTGAAAATCTGTGATAAGACTTGAGAATTGATGTTCTGAGTTTATTTAAAAAAAAAAAAGCACATACACTGAAAATTGTGGTTGTAACAGAATAAACTGTAAGGGATACTTTTACAAGGCTCTGCATGGGAATGACGGTTAAACTCCTAGAGTAACATGAACTGCGCATTAACAAACACCAGAGAGAATCTGTTTTTGATATAAACACAACTCTGAAACGTCTCAGAGAGACAGAAGGCTAATAACACTTTCTCATCATGTTGCTCCATGATTATCTCTCCCTCCTTCTGGCACCAGATAAGAGCCAGGATATAGTTTCTTGCTTGAAGAGCCACTTGTGCCCGACTGATATCATTAGCACAACTGAACACATTTCAGCAACACTCCTCCATATAGCAAACTAATTGGAAATGGGTGCGGCTGCAAGCCACTCGCACGCGCTCTGCCTCTGCTTCAAGCAGACACTTTCCTGACTTTTCAACCCTGAATCCTCCGAATGTAAGGAAGTAAATGACAGGTATGATGTGTCCCGGTTTTAACATCTCTGACTTGAATGTGCCAGTTTTTCCACCCGGGGTTTCCACAGTTTCTGTCATACATTATGTTTCATTCGCTCATCATCCCCATCCCTGCCTTCCCTCTCTGTCCCTCCGGTCTCATTTCCATACCGCTCCTCACCTGTCTCTTGCTGCCGCCATTAGGTAGAAAATGGGCTTTTGGAAAGATGTTTTTCTCTCCGGCCTGTTCTGGCTGTCAACCTGATGGGTTCCTGATTGTTTTGAAGGATAGTTGAGAACGAAGGCTCTCTCTTTTTTCCCCTCGCAGAGACGGCCCAATTTGGTAAACAGTGAATCACTCAAGCTCCGAGAAGCTTGGTAAATTGAAAAGAGAATGTCACCTCAAGCTCTCTGTCTCTTCGCTGACTCCTTGCTCGAGCTTTTCTAAATGCCTCTCCGGTGAGCGGGAGTGTGCTAGTTGCATTTTGCGTCTTTCAGGGTTGAGACGCAGATGGAAGGGAGCCGAGATGTTGACTGAAACGTGAAGATATTCTTTGAGACAAGTCATTTATCACCCCTCAAACGGCTCTTCTCTTGTGATTTGCAGAGAAGTTGGTTTAATGTGACTTGAACCTCTCACGCTTATGCAAGACGTTCCTCTTAAGAGTGAGCGTTTGCATCCTTTGAGGATTTTCCAGATGCATCCGGGGTTACATAAATATCCCTTCTTTTTTTTTTCTTTTTTTGTTTAGCAGCGATAAATAGTTAACGTAAGCTCCCAACTTTTCCCCTCCGATGCCCCTCTCTCATTCCCCCCCCGTCGATGCTTGGCCCTGAACTCAGGCCGGGCTCAGACACTCAACACAATACCTGCCTGTCTCTGCAGGTGAGTTTTGGTTCTCTGACGGCTCCTTGGCGGATAGGTCCAAGTTCAGCGACCCGGGCCTCATGCCCCTCCCAGACACTGCCTCGGGCCTGGACTGGTCTCACCTGGTCGATGCAGCACGAGCCTTTGAAGGTAACCAGCTTGGCTAGAGCTGCTGGCACCTTGTCTAAAACCTTCCTCTTTCTCCAGCCCCGACCTCCCTGACCCCCCGGCTGCTTTGCGCAGTGTGTGTTTGTGTGTCTGTAAGCTGCAAGTGCTCGCTCGCTTGCATGCGTTAGATCTTTGTGAGCTGTGTGTTTTTTTTGTCTCTACTACCTTCTCCTAAGTGCTACTGGAGGTCACTTTTGGGAATCCTTCTGCTTTTTGCACCTTTGCTCTTCGCTTCTTTGTGGTTCCCATCAAGAACAGTTATCTCTAAAAATGAGCCGTCATGTCACCGCTCAGAGGTGGAACCAATTTCCGCACCATAAAACCAGGAAATCAGGAAAAACTTTTACACTTTGATTTCTTTTTACTATGAAGGTTTTACTTTAGCTTTTTGTTCAATAACACTGGCAGGTAGGTAAAAATGCTTTACATAAATTAAGATCTGCTTAGCTGGATCACAAATTAGAATATAATATTGAACGATATGGCTGAAAACCATATCACGATATGAGTATATCATATCAGTCGACATTGATGATTATTGACTAGTTTTTTGTTTCAAATATCTGAAATACAGTCATTCTGGTGGTGTGACCATTCATGTTCTGAATGCTCTGTTAGTTGTATTATCTATTCATATTGATCATGTGTCTATCACGGTACATTGTACTGATTTATTGTCCACCCCTAAAATAACACGTCGACTTTTTTCAATAATGAAACATGCATATCAATTACTTACACATAGCAGGAAATATGTTTCATGTGTTTCACTTCTGTTGATAATTATGGCTTGCATCTAATGAAAAACCATAGATAAGTCAACATTAGACCAATTAAAAGTGATGACTGCAATGTTGTGGTCATGTGACGGCCTACACAGTTATGTAGAAGAACGCTAACAGACGGTCATTAATAAGTTCACATTGACCATAAAATTCCTCAAATTGGAATTAAGGAAACTAATTTTCATAATGAAAAAACTGCAATTTCAAAAGAAGCATTTTTCTCCAGTTATGTTTTTTTTTTTTTTTTTTTTTTTTTTTTTTTTTCACTCTAACAAAATTAGTATATTTCACAAGTCATGGTATGAACAATAGCTGTCACTGCTGGTGGAAAAGACGATGAAGTGGTAGGAGGAGGATGATGGTGTGGCATGTTTTTAATGACTTATCGAGTCAATAAACATAATCATGTAGACTTTTAATTGTGTTTCTTATGTAAAGGAAACACTGCGATTGTCAAATTGTGTTTTTTCGGCAGTAGCAGACTATCGACAAAGTTTTGCGCACATTTGTAATGGAAACTCCACTACTGACATCCTTCAGAAATAGGGTCAGGAGCAAAAAATGTCATTGGTAAATAAGATAGTTTTTCAGTTCTTTATTTAAAAATATTGATGGAAGGTTAAGTGGAAGAAAAAACTGTGATAAATTACCTGGCCTTATTTGAAAAATTGGCATGCTGCTCAGTTGTCCAGTTCTCTTTTCAGATCCAATTCGTTTTCTCGAGTCCAAAATCGGCACAACATTTTAGAGCGCCTCATCCTTTTATTTGCCGACAAGTTTTACAGGGACACTAATTTACCAGCAGGAATTGGTAGAGTACTTGCCTCTAAAAAAAAAAGCTATACAGAGTATTAGGAGTATTAACAAAAAGATGAGAAACACCAGATCTAGCAGTTTAGATGAGCTGAAAGCTTCCAGGGTTTCCTTGACAGCTAAACAGAACCACAGGCTGATCGCCTCCATGCCACTCTGCACTAACGCAGTAATTCATGCAAAAGGAGCCCGAGCCAGATATTTAGGCAGGTAATGTTTAGTAATCCAAACATTTCTTTTTGGTTTCAGTTAGCTGTTATAATCATAAAACCACCGGTAATAAATGCTTGAATTATATTTCTCTGTGTGATTGATCCACATATGAGTTTTAATAAGTTTTTCCACATCATGTGCAGCATCATCTGTTTATATATTTTATTATGCTTAACTTAAGCTCTACTGTCATGTCAGTGCATTTCATCTTCCACTAGCATACCATACGATTTTTTTTTTTCTCTGTTTGAACTCTGCCTGACCCCGACCCGTGAGCAGACAGCATAGCTTGTGTTCACTCATTTGTCAGTGCGGCGTTTCGCCTTTGGTTCGTTTCCGGCTTCAAAGCATAAAGTCCATCACTTACTGGAGGAGAGGGGGGAGAGGGGGGTTCGGCGGAGATGATGAAAAGCTTGACTGACAGCAGTAAGGCTGTTGTCACGCCAGTCAATGCAAGCTGGAGCATCATTCTTGGACATTTAAGCAGCTACGCTATGAGAGCAAGGAGATAATGAGGTCAATAAAGATGAAAGACACTCATAATAAATGTTCTGTTGTTTCAAGGTGAAGAAAACTGTTCACAGCTGAGAAGTAAAAACCATCCTGTAAAAATTTGATGAAATACCAAATTTTCAAGCAGATATAACCAGGTTCCAAGCCTCCTATGCCCTGTGCACTCCCCTCCTGGTGCATTTTTATTTCAGTCATCTGTTATTAACATTAATATTATCTAATAACAGGGTATTATAAGCCTGGCAGGCCACCAGGCTTTACATGTGCCCCCACCAGACTAAGCATTGCTTATTTATTTAAGTCTTTTTAAATGTTTGGATTTTTTAAGCCTTTTCATGTGTTAATCTTCCAATCTTTCAACGACACATAATTATCAAGTAATATTTTCAAATTTCCTGTCAACTTTAAACATTTTTTAACTCAAAAACATGACGGGCCGCCTGATGAATGACTGCTCTAGTAATAATATTAATTAGGGTTGTAAATAGCTTTCCTGCAAAGAAAAAAATACAATTTCAAACTGTCACTGAGGACAGCATGGACATGCAGTGTAGCTGTATTATCAATATTGACCCACTAAAATACTGAAATTGTCCAAAAGTTGCCAAATTACAGTGAGATTTGCAAAAATCTGCAAATACATAGTATGTTTAAATATTATTTCAATGTAAATTTTTGCCTCTAAGCTAAGCAGACTTTGTCCATTACAAAATTAATGTCAGGCCATGACTCTGAATGTGTGCAAAATACTTTGAAAATTGCTTTAGACAGCCTTCCCACAATATTCTGGGATTCTATAATCTCAGAATTATTTTTCTTATTAGGGACTTAAATTTAATCCAACAGTATTTTACTCTAATGGAGCTGTAAATTATAAACTAGCTAGCAGTAAAGCTTTATTTTGCATGTATCTTAAAGAGGACACAATATGCAAAACTCACATTTTGCACATTTTTATACTTCCACACCTGTCACCTAGCAAACCCCGAATCTGAGTTCCAGGACATTTGGTCAGCTGGTTTTACCGCTGTATGCGCTGTACAATGGCAGCTGGAAAAGACAAGTGTTTTGTTGTTGATTCACCATCCAGAAACTACTTGCTCCATTCTTGTTGGTTGTGCAGGAGGCTCTACTTCTGCTTTTCAAAGATGCATGACTGTATATGGGCATCTGTTTGCAGCCATTTTCACGTGTGAGTGTAAACATTGAGTTCTGGGGCGTGGCCAGCAGCAGCTAATTTGGATTTAAAGTGACAAGTCGCCCTAAAACGTCTCATTGTGAAAGAAGCTCAAAACAGTTAGAACTGAGCAGACTAGAGTTTCATTGTCTAAGAATGATTTCATGCAAAAAATGTAATAAACATGTTTTATATAGCATATAAACCTAAACTCCCCTGTTCGAGGAGGTATAATAAATCACCTTTAGTCATGTTTAAAAATACTTTAACTCTGCTTCCTTTGCTGTGTTCAGCTAAATAATGCTGCTGAACACAGCTGCAGACAATCAATCGATTTTATGTCTTAAACCTTAAGAAATAAAACTCCCATTGGTGGATTTAGAGATTTTGTCTAATCTGAGGAGCATTGCAGGTATTGAGCTTGATCTCCAAAGGACCCCTCTTAGATTTGTGTCTGGTTCAGGCTTTGTGCTTTATTCAAACTGAATATTAATGACAAAAATGGAGCAGTTACAATCAAGTTTTTTGCTGTGTGCGTGGAGATGCTGCAGGCCTGAAACCCTAATAAAATAAACTTTGGTCAATCATTTCCAAATATTTTGATTTTCCCCACAAATAAGCAGGATCGCTTACAGTTACAGCATCTTTCCTGTCCACAGTGGTGTGGTTTCTTTTTCAATCTAATCAGAATGCTCACTAAATCTGGACATCGCCTCATCGCTAAAAGACAGGCGGTATCTCTGCTGTCTGGGAAGACTTTAATCTTTCTGATGCAGCCATGGAATCTGAGGAAGGAAATCATTCATATGGAAATTAGGGCCTGGTCTGTCTTTGCTGCTTCATGTGAGAGAAACCAACTCTGTCCTCATCCAACTTCTGTCTTAAAGTGGATTATCTTTCAGTTGGGGGATGAATTAATGAAAATGCTTACTTCTGGTATGAATATGCAGATTTCCCCATCTTTAGTCTTAAACCGAGGGCTGGAGAAGGACTGGTTTGTAGAGAAAACAGCATTAAGCGTTAAAACTGAGAAATCCCAGAGCACGCCGTGCCAAGTTTGGGTTTTCCATGTGGCTTTGGCAAAGCTTAAAGGCCTGATATGGTGAAACAAGCATGACTAGTGTCTTACAGTTTCACAGTGGGAGCCAAACAGCTGTCAGAGGAAACTCCAGGGTGGAAACCACTGAAGCAGAACCCAAGGAGAGTGACTAGAAATGCTGGAATTATCTGGATGTAGATTTTAGTAAAGTGGCTTGAAACAATGCTTAAATAAGCTCCATTCATTGAAACCATGAATGACTCACTCATCCTGTTAGAAACGCATGCATTCAGTTCAAGTTGTTCTGCTTTGGCTGTATGTTGGCCGAATGATTCACGTTTCCTGCTGTGATGTCAGAGCCGGATTATCTGACCGGTTCTGGTCACCTGTTCTGTTTCCAGACCAGCGCGTGGCGTCTTTCTGCACCATGACAGACATGCAGCGGGTGGAGGCGCTGCAGATCTCCAGAGAGCTGACCAGACGGGTGGTGGAGGCGGAGGGAGCAGCGCTGGAAGCAGAGTAGGCATCATTCTCAGTACAAAAAGCGCACAAACATGCAAACACAACTCCTGGAAGAAGCAAAGAGGGATTTTTGGTTGAAAACACTTAACAGCTGCGAGTTAGCACTGTGTGCCTTTCAGAGAAAAGAAAGAGAACTAGAGTAAAACGTAGAACATTTTGTAAGGAGTTTCGTCATTTAGCACGTTTATCTACTGTTGCATCATCCGCAGCTCAGCATATTTCCAAACCAAATACAATCTTGATTAATTAAAGCGTTCCATTATTTATTTTCTTTTTCGGATGTCTTTAAGGTGTTTATTTGCAATAGTTAGTTTCCCAAGAAGTATTTACAAAAGAATAAAGGAAATCTAGTGAGGGCAAGGCACCCAAGCATGCAGCTAAAAGTTGGTGAAGAGCGACAATTATACTCCAGCAGTAATGCATTACTTAATGGCCACCCAAGTAGAAAGTTGTGACTGCAGATTCTCCCAGCTCCGGTGTGAGCTCATAACACCAAGATTTATATGGATGATTGGTCCAGTTTGGAGGAGGAAGTCAGCAGCTTCAAGACCTAAAACACCAGTGAGCGTACTCAGGAATTTAAAGGCACCCTATGGCAAGCCCAGTCGGCATGTAATTCACCAGAGTGGTGAATGAAAGTCTGTCCACAAATTTTTTTTTCTCGGGTTGTTTTGCCTTAAATTGTCACTTCCATTAACTGCTACACATGAGGTATATGTTTCAAGAATTTTTTTTTTTTTTCTTTTTAGGGCTCAGACGCTGAGAAAATACACTTAGTGTAAAAAAAAAAAAAAAACTTACTATCGGGGCTCATTAAAAGTAAAAATCGTGCTTGAGCAATAGTTTTCCATTGGTAAAAACATTACTCTTACAAACAGCTTTTGCAGATGTACTGACTGGCAGTCTGGTAGTTCGTAGTGTCAAAGCTCGTGTTTTTATAACACTGTGGCAAAAAGTGAGTTGAACTGAGAAACTTATTTAACTGACACAAAGTTCACCCACTTTTCCTGCTCAGCTGGATATTTGAGGAAAGTGAGGGCTTACTCTCTATGTAACAAACCCTATGTCAACGTCCATATATATGCTAATGATGGTTATGATTATTAGAGGTGACCTCCTGAAGGTTCTTCTTCACTACGAAAGAAGTGTTTTAAAATGATTTATCAGCCTTTATATCATTAGAAAGCAAGATTATGATTATGTATATTATATTCTTAAAAGATTTTTTGTTTTTCTGACTAAAATACAATGATATTTGCACTTTAAACTTGTTAAAAATTAAAGAAAAATGTGTCTTTTAACAGTGTGGGTTAATTTGTTTGTTTGTTTAAACCAACAGCAGCTCCCCGTCCACGCTAACTGGCAAAGTCAACCAGCTGGAGGTCATCCTCAGGCAGCTGCAGCAGGACCTCAGAAAGGTGAGTTATGTTCCTGTTCTTAAGCTCTGGCACCTCTGTGCTTTTCTTTATTTTTTATTTTTTTTAACACCAGCAGCTAGTGCATGTCTGTGCCACTCAGGCCGACATGGAGTAATGGCTGCCCTGAGGTCTGCGTAATACATACTCATCCACTTAATTTGATATCCTGTTTCCGTTCCTTATTGTGTCCCAGCCCAGTGTTTCCCCACTTCCAGTAGAGTGCTGAGGAAATACACTTCAACCAGAGCGGAGGAAAAAGCTGCTTAGCTACTTTAATGCTTCTCATTTACGCCGCATCGACGAAAGACAGATGTACTTTTAATAGCGGGGCTTTTATCAGCTCCTTTGTGTGTGTTAGCCTAATTTGCCTCTTGTTCTGGGTGTGTGTGTGTGTGTGTTTTCAGGAGAAGGAGGACAAGGCCATGCTGCAGGAGGAGGTGCAGCACCTGAGACAGGACAACATGCGGCTGCAGGAGGAGAGCCAGACGGCAGCGGCTCAGCTCAGGAAGTTTACAGAGTGGTTCTTTCACACCATCGACAAGAAACCCTGAGCGGCGCAGAGAGGAAAAACAGAGGAAAGACGGAGCAAAAGAAGGCCTTCATCCCTCCTGGGCACCCACTCAACTCCCATGTAAAATTCCCAGATAAATCCACAACGAAAACGTTAAAATGACGACGAGTATTAAAAGCCCCACACTTAGGATGTTGTGCTGCACTGTGTGAGAGACTGAAAACCCAGATCTGGACTATAGTTTGGGGACTCCTCTCTACTCCTCTTTTTAAAGTTACTGGTCTCTCTTGGGAAACCTCGTGGTATTTTGCTCCGGAGAAGACTTGAGAAAAGTAATTCCAGGGGAAGGGAGCTCCGCTGAGTCCTGGGATCTTCTTACAGAAGTGGAATGTAAAGCTCATTTACTGTAGTCAACATTTAACCTACCTACGTAAATCACGTCAGTCTACTGTACTGTATACTCAGCTGTACTGTACGGGTGAATCTCAATACATTACTACGTTGTGAAAGCTAATTTATTCACGCAACTCATATGAATAAATTTAAACACACAGGGTGATGTATTTCAAGCATAATTTTTAATTTTGATGTTTATGGGTTACAGAAAATGAAAAACAAAGTTACGGTACTTTCTAAAATTACTAGCTAACAAATTTGCACAAAACTATCAATATTGTGCTAATGTAAAAAGAAAACAAAAAAAACATGATTTTGCAATTGCTGTGTTTCTGTTAAGTAAGAAATATAGTTAAAATAAAATGTGAATAAGTTTGTGAACATGATAAGTCATTAAAAAACATGCAGCACCATCCTCCTCCTACCACTTTCTGTTGTCTCCTTTGTATTTTCTGCCAGTGGTAACACCCAGTTGTTGATCACATGCGAAAAAAAATATTTTTCCAAATATACTAATTTGAATACAGTCAAAAAAACACCTCAATTTTTTATGGCATGTTTCCATCAAGTACATTTATTTTCATAACTCCAGTTTGCGCAGTTAAATGGAAACACAGGTATAGACTGTGGAAACTTCATGTGGATTGGTTTCTGTGATTTTACAAAATTTTTCCTTTCACTCCACTTTCCATTAATATGCTTTGACACAGAAGCCTACAATGGGCTTTGTTTTATACTTCCCTCAGTTGTCTCTGATGGTGCAACTCTTTCTACCACACTTTTTCCTTCCACTCAACTTTCCGCTAGTATTTTTGTTTACATCTCTCTTTGAACTGCCAGCTTTTTTGGCAAAAGCCTTTACACAACTTGTAAGGGAAGTCAGTATCTGTCAGTATGTTAAAAAAATGGTTTTCTATTATTTTCTCAGAAACTGTGAAGTCAAAATGATCAAGATTAATAGAAATGTGAGCTTGAAATGATCACTCTGTGTGGTAGATTTATACAACACGAGTTTCACTTTTCATAATTGAATTACTGAACTACTTTTCTTTTTTTTAATCTAATGTACTGAGAGGCACCTGTATCAATCTGCGCACACTGTCACTCAGCTGTTTCTGCTGCATCGGCCCTCACGGACGTTGGGGGAGCAGAGGGTTTGAGGCGAGAGTCGGAGGGGACAGGAATGTACCAGACGAAATAAAGTGATACTGTCTGCCTGCACCAGGAGGAATCCACATATGGTGGGCTTGAAATGTTCAGTGTGTCGACGGGTGGGAGGGGATGAATGTAGCTCAACCGAGACCTTTTATTTTCTCTGAAACTCTCGTTCCCAAAGCTACAGAAGTTCTGAACGTTTGACGTGTTTGTTTTCAATCAACTTTCCTGTTTTTTATTTGTTTTCTTTCTTTCTTTCTTTCTCCTCTGTGTTGTAACGTAGGTTCACATGGCAGTAATTTTGATGTTTGAAGGTGCTTTCTCCCTCAGCACATATTTGTCAGTAGTTTCCATTCACCGTCACGATGTCCTAGCAATAACAAAGTGGTAGTTACGAAACTGTTTTTTTTGTTTTATTTTGTTGTTTTGGGTTTTCTTTTCTAAAGGAAGTTAGCACAAGTGTGGATAGTTTCTTTCGAGAAGCAGATGTTTTTTTTTGACATGTATTTATAAAGCTGGAAGAGACTGTGCCTAAAACTGGTTGTAAATGGATTTTTTCTTTGTTTTTCTCTGTCAGCTCTCTTTTATAAACACATGCCTTGTCTGTGGCTCACTGAGATAAAATCATTTGAGTGTGAGAGTGTGTGTGAGTGTAGCAGTATGAGTTCTTATGCAGTGGTTTCTAGAGTATTAGAGCGGACGCCAGTGAACCACACTTACAATGCCAAATGTGTTTATTTCTGTACATAACTGCCACAGAAGTGTCTTGTATTTAACACTATTATTTAAGCTTATTTAACCTAAAGTTGTTTATTTTATGAAGCTTCTTAATTTGTTGTTTTTTTTTTCTGCACTAAGGAGAGATAAAGCTGTGTATGTTGTAAAGTGTGTTGCTTTGCAGGGCAAAAATACAACAAAAAAATCAAACCAACAACCACAAAACAAATTAATAAGTATATATTTAACTGTATAAATAATTTTGGAAATTCCAACATTTGGATGCTGCTAGATGAACAGATCGCTGGTTTGTATGCTTTTAAAAAAATGTCTCTCCTCATTACCAGTCTCCTCCCTGGTGTGGGATGTCGGACGCATTTGATTGTTTGTTTTCCTCTTTTTGTTTTTATTTTTTTTTTTATTTTGTTTTTAATAAATGTAGTTGTAAAAATCAGACCTTTTTGCCATTTGCAGTGTCTTTTTTTCTAATCTAAATTAAGCAATGTTGCGTAAGAAATATCTGAAGGACCTCAAGGATACGCGGGTTTAGACGATGGATGGAAACGATTATTATTTAGACTTTCACGTGAAAAGTTTTTAAGGCTTAAAACGATCTGTAGAAGGTCGACTGCTCATTGAACGGGGGTTTCATCAAATCGCATGAAGTTTCAATAGGTCTGTGGTTATATTTGGTGAATTTAGAGGCACTGACTGCAATTATTGAGTTCATGTTTTTGCCTCACAGAAGGGAAATTCATGCAGGAAAGCTTAAGACGCTGATGCATGTACAAACAGCTAATTTTATTTTTTTGCACACTTTTCTTTTTCTTGTTCCTGATGCGTGGAACAAAGATCGTTTTCTGTCAGACTTTCTTCATCCCCTGTTTAGTAAACAGCAGGTGTGCTGCTAAGTCTTTCCAGTTGAAACCTGAAACCATAATGTGTTTGGGACTTGATTCCCTCCGAGTTGATGGGCTTTAAATAAATGACAGATGTTGCTTTCACTGTTTGCAGCGGCTTGCTAAATAATTAATCATAAGCCTTTCTAGATGTGGAGAGAAAAACAATTAAATTTGTTTGCTACTTCCTGCATTAAACCTCCTGCTCAGCTGCTGAAGTGCGACTCAATCTATTAAAGTTTCTCAGGTTTGCAGCTGCATTATGTCATAGGTCAGGGTTGTTCAAACCTTTTATCACGTCAGAAGAACAACTGGGCCAAAACCTTTAACTCTTTTAAAGAGCTAACACCACAAAAAATAAACTAAGTACGAAGTATTTTAATTTTGTTTGAAGAAAAGTGAAGCGTAGTTCAAAACCTGAGAAGGAGTTTTGCATCCTCGCCTCATTAAAATAAAGGCATCCAGTTTGCACGTTCTTTGGGACTCATTTGGAAAGAAATTACAGAACAAATGAGTCTATTTTCAGCACAAGAACAGGGTTTGGTTCACTCTTTCTCAGGAAACATTTGTTGTATTCAGTCCAGCCTGATAAATTAATTAAATGAATATTTGGATGTATTAAAGTCTGCATTAGAGTAAAAATCACTGGATAAATGAGGTCAGATTTTTCTATAAAATTAAAGAAAATACAAAAAGTCTGGTTATGAAAGGCTAAATATTTCATGTTGTGCCTATTTTTTTTCTTATATTTTAATAAACATCCGTTAATTACCATCTCTGCTAACCACCTTTGTTGGGGGATCATCTTTGTCTCATTATTGAATTGAATTGGGGGCCGTAGAGAATCAGGACAGAGGCCACAAATGGCCCCCAGGCCTCACTTTGAACACCTTTGTCATGGGCCGAACTGTTCTTGTGTCAAATGCTGCGTTTCTATTCACCATATAATTGCGCAATTTGATTTTTTAAAATAAATTCTCTAAATGAAAACCCGCCAATTTCGAAAAAATAAAATGTTTTGATTGTAAAAAAAAAAAAAAAAAAAGTTTTGGCGTTAGGGTGAGGTGGGTTTTTATGTACCGAAATTGGTTTATTTAGCAAATCTGTCCTGGAAAACTTTATTTTTTTCACATCACAGGTGTCGTGATTAACAAGCGGCTGTTTCCAGTGGCGCAAACCATGAAGAAGAAAACGGCAGGAAGTAGTTGGAGAATAATGGTTGATGGCGCAGCACGTTTTTTAAATGACTTATCATGTGAACAAACTTATTCTTATTTCATAAAAACAACGTAATCGCAAAATTGTAGGGTTTTGTTCGACATTAGCGAGATATAGACAACGTGTTGCGCTGCTAATGGCTTTACCTGTGAGTTTGGCGGAGATGTGTGCCTGTTTGAAAGTCTGAAAGCGGATCAGACTCTCCAGGGAGTCGCTGGTTTCAGCCTGACCTCCCTGTCGAGCCTCTCCACATCACCAACCGGCTCTGTGTTGGGCCCGGAGCAACACGCAGTCAGGAGGTGGTTAATCTACACGTATATGTGTATATGTGCTCAGCGCCAGGACGGCAGATGGAAACCCAAACTGGCGCAAAGTGAAAGTGTTGCCTGCTTCAGATGAAGGAGGGAGGGGTCGAGGGTGCGGAGCAGCTAAATGGAAATGCCAAGTGTCTTCTACATGAGGAAAATCTGGACAAACATAAAAAAATAAAAAAAAATGAACTGAGGCTTGGAGGGAGAACCAAGCGGCTGTGGCAACAGAAGCACCGGTCCAATCCAATAACGCAGTGACAAGCTGGAATTTCATTATCCTCGGAAAATATGCTGACAAGCTGTAACTCGGAGACCCAACCCATTAGGTTGACGGTCTGAACCAGCCAGATGGTTCGGGCTCCCGGTTGTGCAAACCATATTTGGTCTCTAATTTCTTCCTGTGTCAGCGGTTAAAAGCATAAACGCTGACATTTCTCCTCCGTTCAGGAGTGACGGTCATCCGCAGCCACACAGATTTGTGGCTCATCACTCATAATAGCTTGTGACTGCAGCACAGTTGTCCTGCTTCCTCAGTCCCACGGCAGATGCTCCCCTGCTGTGACTTCCACGCTGGTCCGGATCATGTTACCCAGAATGGGTTCAGAATGCCTTAAGCACAGCTGGCACCGTGCAGAGGGAAGGAGGAGGCGGTTCTCATCGACTAGACCCAGATATCGGCTTCACGTATCAGATTTCTCACAAACGGAGGCCTGAGGTTTTTTTTTAAATCATTATTATTTCTGGAAAATAAATGAGAAAAGGCAAAAATATTCTAAATGCTGCACCATTGTAATTAGCAGCCTGGTACAGATGCAGGAAAAAAAAAAAACCTTCATACATGTTCCTTTTTATTTGCAGATGTGTACTTGAAAATGAAAATGCAAAAACACATTAATCTTACCAAGTAGTTTTGAACTAGTTTCTATTCCAAATATCTTAATACACTTGAAAATGAAACAAAACTAACTTATGTACTTGTTTTAAGTGAATAATTCCTTAATATTGATGAAAGTACTTGCTCTATTGGCAGATTATTTCATTTACAACAAGAATTTTTTTCCCCATGTCATAAGTTAATTTATCTGCCAGTGTAACTAGTACTTTTCATCAATAGTAAAGAAGTTTTTAATTATTTCATGTGTAATAAGATATTTGCTATAGAAACTAGACCAAAATTACTTTTGTGTTTTTGCAGTGCAGAAATCTGAGGTTTAGTATCTGCCGACACAATACAGAAAAACATTGCTGAATTAAATTAAAACACTTCTTTTTTTGCAAATGCAGATATAAATGTACTGAATTACATTTTTATTTGATAACTGCATCAGTGCAGCACACTGAAATTCGCCAAAATGCTTGGTCAAATGTGAAAAATTAACAAAACATTTGGCCAAATCCACAGAGAAATGGTTCAAACAACCTTGTACTAGTAATCTCAGTCCCTAGTCCCAGGGTCAGCAACCTTTATAATCCAAAGCGTCATGGCTACAAGTAAATAAATGTGCAAAACCAATATAATCCTGAGAAATAATCATTATATGTTAGAAATATCTACTACATGAAACATGTCAGGGAAACGAAAGAAGGAAAGAAAACATTTTATTGACTGAAATGTTCTATAGCTGCAACATTGTGACATAAAATGAGCAAAAGAAAATGTTGTTTGTCCAGATCAGTGTCCTTCTGCTGTGGAAATATTATACAATGGACTCAAATTTGTTATTTGAGCATATCTAAAATATTTGAAAGAAAATGCAGCTTCAGAAACTACTGTGCGAAACATTATTTTAATATTTTTATTAAAATAGGTCTTTATTTGTTTTTAGCCATCTACAGCCAAAAAGGTTTTAAACAAAAGGACATAATAGATTCTTATCTAAAACAATCGACTCATCCCAATGAGGAAAAATAAATGACTAAAATAAAAATCCCTCATAACTCAGATTTAAAACAAAGTTTGGTCACGACCAATAATGCTCATATTTATAGCTTAGCATCACATGCATAATAATCAACGGAGACATTTAAATTTTAATTTGGTAATTCTTTAAAAATGCAAAAAAATTATTGCAAATCTCTTGAGATTCAGTTGATTTTTTTTCTTACACTTTCTTAAAGCTGATTATTCTCTTAACTTCTTTCCAGCAGAGAGAAATCAACAATTTGCTGCTTAGCAGCACACAGGCCTTTGGTTGCAAATTAAAAATGTAAATTTTTAAGGCTTTTAATGGATCTCTTCCAGGCGGACATGGAGAATTACTCACATCTTATTACTATCAGTGCTGTTTCCTTTGTTACCTGAAAGCTAGATGATAACCATATTGATCCCCACATTGTTAGCAAGTGTTGAGTATGAGAGGAAAACTGGGAAAACTATAAAGCATTGGCTTTTCTTTCTCATTGGCTCTTACCGAATCTCTGATGTGTTGTGTGCCTGAGAGGCATGCCAGCAGGATAAGCTCTCTCACCTGGACTGTTTATCTGTGCAGCTCATCTCTCCTCTGCCGGCCCTTTGAAAATCCCCCTCACTCACTGGGGAGCTGCAAGAGAAAGCAAAAAGAAAAGAGGGGAGGGTGGGAGAAAAAAAGACACAAAGAAAAAACAAAACCAGTAAAGAGTCATCTCTCTCCTCCATCTGCCTCCTGCATCCCAGCGGGCTGCTGCTGCTGTCAGTCAGTCACAGGTGACCATCCTCTTACCTGGACCCAGTGAAGGGCAGCGTATTATATAGCTTCCCTGCTTTCTTTGAAAATCCTTAAAGGTAAAACAGGGGGAAGGAAATCATTTTCCAGAAAGGTCACTGTAGGGAGAGTGACTTCAAATTTTACATCAATCCGAGGCGACGGCAGAGAAAGCCTCCCTTGTTGAACGCGAGAGAAAAGAAATGAGGCCCGCGTCTCGTGCTTCACCGGCAAATTAGCTAAGGAGACAGGAACAAATAGATCAGACAAGGGCAGGTGAATTATCTTCATTTGCAAGGATGTCCTTGTGTGCTGTCCTTTCAGCCCCGGAGCAGCAGCAAGCTC